ATAACAATACGAACAATACCACAACAACCCAATCCAGCACTAACACCCCAAAACCCCGACTCAAAAGCACACATTTTACGAGAAGTCGTCGCGGACGGCCCCATTCTCTATCCCTCTCTATCCCTCTCTATCGCTTTCTCTCTAACCGTCCCTCCCCCATGGACGGACGCAGTGGCACAAGTGGGTGAACGTGGACTACACCTCGAACCGCATCCTCGAAGAGTCCACGGCGCTGCTGCCTCCCCCTCCTTCGTCCAGTACAATCGGAACCAGTCGCGACTTCCCGTTCGGATCCAGCAGCCACGAGACTGCAGCTGCCACGATGACGTCGTCGCTCTCGCCTTTGTTATCAAGTATCGAAGAGCCTGTGCAATCAAGTATCCAAGTCACGGTGAACGAGCCAATCAAACAGGGCGAGGGCCTGAACGCCTACATTTCGTACAAAATCAGTACATGCACCAGTCGCCCCCAGTTCGCCAAGAGCTCGTTTACCGTTGTCAGACGGTACAGTGATTTTATCTGGATCCACGGACATTTAAGCGCGCTGTATCCCGGAATTGTCGTCCCCCCGCTTCCGGAAAAACTGCTGGTCGGGAGGTTTTCTCCGGAGTTCATTGAGGGCAGACGGCGCGCTCTGCAGTTGTTCCTCCAGCGCTGCTGTCTCCACCCGGAGCTGCAGCACAGCGAGCACCTGACAACGTTCCTCGAAGCAAGTGAAGAGCAGCTCCAGACGTTCCGGAGAGATCCGCGGCATGCAGCGCCGAACGCCCAGCGGGGCGCGCTATTCCAGTGGCTGGACGAGACCGTGAGTACGCTCTCGTCGACGTGGATCCCGTCGGTGATTCCGCTGCCCAAGACACCAGCAGATGTGGAAGTGGAGAACATGATGGCGTACGTTGAAGGCTTGGAGCCCATCATGGCGGGGCTGCATAAACACGCGCACGGACTGACGAAACGAGCAAGAGAGATTGCCGATGGACTGTTTGAATTTGGTGTCTCGTTTACGTTATTGGGCAAGTCGGAGGAAAACCCGTCGTTGCAGGAAGGATTGAGTCACATCGGACAGTGTTCTGATCGGCTCTCGAACTTAGCAGCGGAACATGCTGAGCGTGAGGCACTGCACTTTGAGGAGCCAATTTTTGACTATATTCGGCTAGTTGGGGCAGTGAAGGCTGCGCTGCAGAAACGACATGAAGTGCGGGTTGCTTATGGCACTGCAGTGGCTGACCTTGAAGCGAAAGAAGCTGCGTTGGCGAAGCTGCGCAAGCACGCTCGAGGAGCCTCGGTGGAGGGAGAAGCTTCAGCTGGCGGAGAGTGAAGTGTGCTTAGCAGAGCAGACGATGGAAGATGCCAGACTTGCAGACGATATTGTCACGGAGCGAGTTCTTCGTGAGGTGGAACGCTTTCGACGGGAGAAGCTCGTGGACTTTAAGCATATTATTCTGGACTACATTCAAATGCAGATTGAGTACAGCAAGAAAGTGGAGGATGAGTGGCAAGAGGTCATTCCGAAGCTCGCGGCGATTCAGGTAGAGAATGGCGGACCTGTATTGGCACCAGTGGGCCCAGTCTCACAAGATACGGTGGATAGTGCCCTGCGTGAAGAAGAAGCAGCAGAAGAAGAGGAGACAGCTACTACAACTCTTGGTTCGATGATACAGGAAGATTACATTCCGTCGAATGGAGATTTGACAGATAGCCTTTCGGATCTGACACTTATGGCAAACGATGACGATGAGGACGAAGACCTTTTCCAGCACTCACCATATGGTTCTCGGGCTACGGGCGACTTGAATCCGGACGTGTTACTGTAACGCGTCTCCTTTTGCACGTAGGGTGTGCCATTGCGATTATGGCGATTATATATTAATGTAAGCAAGACATACACATGGGATGCTCCTGTGTCTTCTCTATTGTCTAGCCATCGGCACCTGGCGCCTCTTCTTGTGTCGAGCAAGTGCTGCAGCAAGCTGATCACGGGAAGGTACGACCCAGCGAGCACAACTGTCCTTGTAGCTCACATTTCCAGCGGCCTGCTTTCGATTTTGCACGAACTCTGTGCCATGATACAGCGCCACGCCGGCAAGTACACACAAGACGGTTGACAGCACTAGCAAAACAGTCTGGTTGCTCGATAGACCAATTCGTTGCAGCAGTGAAAGTGGCTTGAAGCGCGGCGATGGCACAGCACAAACAGCTTCACCAGTAGTGGCATTGGAACCAGTCGTGAGGTTCACAGGATAGTCGGCGTAAAGGTACAGATTGCATGGTCCATATTCACTGACGTTTCTACCGCGGGTGATGCGCATGTAACCGTCGGTCCCCCACATCGTCCCCCACGTATTCCGGAGTTTCCAGAACTGCTCCCCCGCGGCAGTCTGTCCAAAGCCCACGACTACAACCGCGTGATTGACTTCATCGCCATCGCTACGACAGTCTTGAGCGTCATAGATCCCGCCTGCGTAATGACGAAACCCGTTTCCAGACGCGTCAATGTTGGCTGTAACGGGTCCATGTGTTACAGCTCGAAGTAGCGCCTGCTCATTCGCCGCGACCACTTTGTACTTGGACACGTCCTTCTCCCAACCCACCGCGACCTCAGCAGCAGTTAACGAGCGACACTCTGTATCAGTCTCATTCGTTGCCATTACGTACGGATACGTGCTCTCACACGAAATTCCGTGCGGCACCGCGAGATCCAAGTAGGAGTACGTAAGAAACGGCATTCCACCCGCACATCCTTCCGACGAGCTGGTCATATTGTCCTGGAAGTTGCTCCGAACATGATCCAGCGGGGCCGAGCAGCTCAACACTTGCTCTACACTCAAGATCGATGCCTGAACATCGTGCTCAATAGCAAATCTTGATTCCACTACGGACACGCCTGCAAATGCCCAGCAGCTTCCACACGTCCCCTGGTTCTTGATCGGTGTCATATATTTCCCTCCAGCTTGAGTCGTCCAGTCCACTGCCATCGGCACGTCAATACGATCATCAGCATCATCAGCAGCAGCGTCACGATCGTTTCCATCGTCACTCCGTCCATCACTGACTGGATGCTCCGCAAAGTCGCCTTCCACTCGCTTGTCTCTTGTCCTCCCTCTCTTGTCCCTCATCTTCCGACTCAGCTTCTCATCCACCTTCTTCTGCTGCATCTCTCTCCTCGTGAACCCCTTATCCGGCCGAGAGCCCAGAAAAGCACGATACTGCTCGTCCGTCAACTCACTCAAGTCATTGTAGCCCAGAAAGTAGCTCTTCCTGCCAGCTTCGTGCTCGGCATTGGCCTTGGTGATGACTCGAACAGTATTGGCCAGAGCTGCCGCTCGCGTGTCATCGTCGAAAGCTCTTGGAGGTCCCTTCATTGACCGTCGTCCAGCTGGGTACAGACGCAGCTCCTGGGCGTTCGTCAAAGCCTCTTGACTGCCACAAAGAGCGTGGAAGACCAGGAAAAAGCTCCAAAGTCGCATGGGTTCAAGTTCCTTCCTTCGATCAGTTGCAAAGCCTGATGAGCTGTTGGTGATGTCCAGATGCTCAGGGGTAGAAAGGCGGTACAAAGCCGAGTGATTGGGTACGTTCAGCGACGATAGTGGCGGACTGTCGACCGATGTCTGTAGACGATTAGCTTTCTGGTAGAAAGTGCTGCTCGGATGATTGCCATTGATCGAGGAGAGTTGGATGGAATACGGCACTCCAGCTTTGTTCAACAGGTGGGTATTGTTACAATGTGTTGTTGTTGTTGTTGTTGTATGGCGTAAAGGCATCGCACAAGGCTCGACTCGGTAATGCAATTGCTTCGAGCGGTCTGTTGTACTGCTATCTGTACGGATGTCGTTGCGATCGACCTGACGTCTTCACTTACGCGAGCGTGCACTATCGATCATGAGTCCAGACAACTAGTCGGAAATTATCAGCCGCTCACATGTTATTAGCGCTGACGGCCAGATCCTTGGCGCTTGTGCTCAGCTTGCAGTCTTGTCATCGTAGCATAGACGCTCCATTCACATCTACAGGAGAGGTCGCCTTGCTTGATTGTTTTCACAGCGTGTACCACTCGCCGGTTTCCAAGCTGCATGGCTAGCGCGTTACCCTCGTGAAACGTCGCATCGATAATGTGTCAAGTAGCCGCATCCGGAAAAGTTGCAGAGTTTAGCGCGTACAAAGCTCCTGTATAACTGATCACACCGCAGTGACTACTAAAGATATCCATACGGATAGTCCACACTTCCAGCGAAATGACTACCTCGGCCTTGCTGCAGAAACAAACACGGAATTTATGATCCAAGCATTGCTGGTGCTCACGTTGCATAGGACATCCGGATACTTGTTCGGTTCACAAGTGCCATTTGAAACACCATCAAGCTTAGAAACGTATCTCGATAAGCCGAAATGTGTTATCCTGTGTATGTTGCCCTGCGCGTTCGTCTACCGCCGAGGTCAATCTCAAAACGACTTGCACCCATCTTGAGTTCGACGATACCTCCGTCTTGTCAACGCCATTTACCCAGGAAACAAACAGGGCCGCTCGAACTACTTGACTTAGCTCATGCTTCATCATACGCGGTCGTACAATCACTATTCGTCCCATGCAAACATTGCGCTTTACAAAGTACACACGTCTGTTGTAATACACTTAGACTTGCCGTCTCTCACAAAGTACAGAGCCCATACTGTCTCGTACTGTCAACAAGCCGACCAATCTCACCGTTGACCCAATTAACTCACAGCGAAAGTGGACAACTGCACAACGTATGCTCACATTCCACGACGCCCGGAGAACGGCAACCGCCCTCCATGCACCAATCGACTGATCACCATCGATCAGGTGAGCTTGCGGCGAAAGTGGATAACTGCCCAACGTACACTCACATCTCACGACGCCCGGAGAACGGCGAGTCATAGCAGTTCATGCAATCGACACGAGCACGTTGCTATAAAACACGAATGTATCCTCTTCCTTGCACACTTCATCGAACAACAACCGAAACGTACAACACTACAGCTTCCGAGGCGATGTGCACATTCATTCCGTCTTTATTTGATGTCAAGACGTGATGTCACCAAGCATTCGTCTTTGCCTCATCGAACAACAACAGTCTTTAGCTATCGACTCTTGTCATCCGTCATCAAATCCAGCAAGCCTGCTGCCCCCAACGACAGTCCTTCGGTTATTTCGAAACAATCTCGAGCCTGAGCTATGCCCGACAAGTTCCATTCCAACTTGCCACCAGCAACCGAATCATTGCGGCTCCGAGTCAGGAAAGCTCAATCTCCAGAAATCATCAGGTGTCTCATACGGTTGAAACCTTGCACGATGTCGTGAACACTTATGTTTCTGAGCCGCCACGTCGACAGTCCCGAGCTCTCCAAGTGCATCGTAGTACTTTTTGCACTCAATGCAGTCATAACCTGGTAAAGCTTTTCGTTCTTCTCGGTTGCGTACCACTTCAATGTACGGAAAACACCTTGCTTCGTCTGAAATGTGCTCTTCTATCCGGACAGGATCCTTCTTCTTCAGTGGCCCTCTAGCTGTCCGTCTTTCGAGACGGCGCTTCCACATCGACGTGTAAGGTCTCTTTTGCTTTTCTTCTGCCCACGTCGCGCGGATCTTCGCGTTACTTCTGGTCTTCGCAAGGGGTTTAAAAAGCACTTTTTTTCTCCGTTTCTGTGCTTTCATCCTCTGTTATCGTCGAGATCATTGGCTCAGGAGCTGCTGCTGGTGTCGTAGTCAAGTCGCATTTTTCGTCTCCATTTTGCTTTATAGTCGACATGCACTCACCTCCTAAGGACGATTTGGCAACGTCAGTACGTTTAATGAGGGGACTTCGTACCCCCCTATTGCCAATCGCGGCCGCAGCTGCTGCTACTTCAGCAGGGCGCGTCGCGTTACATGCTCTAGCGACACCGAGCGCGTGCTCATACTGATCCAGCACTTCCTGCTGCGCCTGCAGCGTCTGTTGCAGTAGCTTGAAGCGTCTAGCAAGCGCTGCTGCCGCTTGCTCGTGTCGCTGGATCGTCGCGAGCAGCGCCTTTTTTTCCTCCTGCCATTCCATACGTTATCAAGGTCAAGCAAGACGCACGCGATGGTGTCGTACTTACGACAGACTATGCACCACCCACCTCTCCGTTCCATCAACGTCCAATGTCGAGGGAATGTAACCCAGTAAACGCGATGTCGGTCGACAATCGCGACGCTATCGATCGCAGAATAAAGCGCTGCAATTGCCACCATAACAAAAAGCAGTCCGTCAAACCGCACTTTTTCTCTCAACTCCGTATGCATCGATAAAAAAAAGAAAGCGTCCCCGATCCCCCGTACACCTCACCCATCACCGCATGTAACTCAGCCAACACCCACTGCTCTGTCACAATCGAAACACGGCCGAACAAAGCGCTTTTGCTATCAAACTACAATGACACCCCCTAACCCTCGATCCAGTCAGTCCCGCCAAACCCCGTCTGCCCGTCTGTGTCTGTCCATCGATCGCCTACTTCAGACACCCCCCCGCCCCTTTGTCTTACTTCACGCCGTCTCCACTCGCACTTGTCGTCCCTCCTCCTCATGCGCTTCGACCGCCTGCGCACGCGCAGCACGAGCGCGCGCCCCACGCCGAAACCCGCCGACACGGACGCGCGTCCCCGTCGCTGCCACAGCGTCATGCCGCGCGCTCCCGATCCCGCCGTTCCCCGTGCTCCAGGTCCATCCCCCGCGTCATCCGCGTCGTCTGCCTTGTTACTTCAGACCCACTCGGACACCATCCACTTGCCGCCACTCGACGACCTCTTTCCACGCGCGGAGCTCGAGCCCCGGATGAAGAAGAAGCTCGTCCGAGTCGCGAACGAGACGTCCAATGCGCTGATCAAAGACACGCTCGCAGCTCATGACGAACCCGGAGCAGTGCTCTGGCGTCCGGCCCAGCGCCTCGGCGGCGCCCCGAGCGGCATCCACGTCCTCCGTGGCACCGCTCGAGACGTGGACAAGGCGCGCGAAGCCACGCGCGTCCGGGCTGTCAGTGACCACGTGCACGCGAGCATTGAGGAGTTTGCGCTGCTGTTTAAACTCGACTCGAGTCGCGAAGCAGCCGACCATTTGCTGCTGTTTAATGCCGACTTGGTCCAGCACGCGACGCTGTTTACACTTGTGGCTCCGTCGGGGCAACAGCCGCGACGCTACGTTGGTGTCAAGTGGGCGCTCGTGGCGTCGCCGTCGCGGTTTTTCCGGAAACGGGATTTCTGCTACTTGGAGTGTCAAAAAGAGTTTATCGATGCGAAAGGACGACGCGGGTGGGTCCGGTCGCTCCATTCGTTGAAGCTCCCGTGCTGTCCGCCACTGGAGAAGAAGTACGGGATCGTTCGAGCAAGTATCTATCGATCGGGACTCACGGCTGTGGAAACGGATGAACCTGGTGTGCTTAGCGTCACGTACACGGTCGAGCTGGACTTGAAAGGACGCATGGCGTTGGAATTATTGCAACCCAAGTTTCTCGCGCAGCGTGTCGCGGCGCTCGCGACAGTGGACAAGCTCTTGCAACAGCAACGACTTAGTAGCAGCCCGCTGCTGGGTGATTTGGATATTCCCAATAAAAAGCGCACGCAAGGCAGCTGTAATTTGTGCTTTCGTGAGTTGGCGCTCTCAGGGGGACTGAAGGACACGCTGGCAGCGATTGCTAATCGATCCACGAAATCAAAGCGGTATGTATGTCGCAAGTGCGGGGAGGGCGTTTGTCGACGGTGCAGTGACGATTGGTGGCTCGATGTACCCGTTGTGGGCCGTACGAAGGTACGTATCTGCACGGTTTGTTCCGCTGCGGCGAAACAGTCGCACATTTCAGCGCATGGAATACATGCTGGCACGTGCCCAATCAGAGGATCCGAGAATGGTGAAGTGTCGCAGGTCGAGGGTGAAACACACCCGAATTTGCTAGACTTACCGCTGCAGCACGCGAAGCGACACTCGGTGTCGTTGGTGGAGCGGCGTGATGGTGCCGCGCCATTCTTCGTGCAACAAGAGGAATTGAAGCGTGATCTCGAGTTGCGGGCTACCGAGCTAAACCGACGCGTTAAAATCTGGGACGAGATGCAGGTGTATGAGCGCGATTCTAGCTTGCAACCGGACCAGCAGCAGCGTGTACACAAACAGTTGTTGCAAGAGCAACGTAAGCGTACGACGAAAGCTCGCGAGCACAAGAAGGACCAGCTTCTCTGTCGTGTACCCCCATCAAGTTTGTTCGGTCACGAAGAAGAGAAGGGAGAACCTGAAATGGAAGTGGTACCTCAGCATCATCAGACTCGGAGCATTTCCAAGCACGAGAGTGAGAAATCAGATCAACAGCAGAGTTTCGATCAGAACCCTTCGTTTGTGTCATCAGAGGACACCAGTTCCCAGGAATTTAGTGATTCAGAGGGAGAACCTGTCATTAGGCTAACAGCTGAAGCCGGGAGCCAACTGTCGTTGAACTACCGCGACAGTAGTTTTTCAGACTACGAAGAGCACACGATTGATGGCTTGGGTGAGATTCGCACCACCACGGACATAACGCGCTGGTGGCAAGATCAACAGTGTACGAGCGAGGCTAATGAACAGGAACAGCTCCGGCCGCGAGCAGATCTATCACCGGTCTCGTCGTTAAGAAACGATACACGAGATGCCAGTGACAATGATGACGGGAAAGAAGGAGAATGTAAAATGCGCCAAGTACAACAGCAGCCATTACGAACGGTATCATCTGAGGAGCAGGAAATGGTTAATGCGTTTATCGACCGGAAACGAGAGTCGAAGAACGAAATCCAGCATCAGCGACACAAGTACGACCCTCAGCAGCGACAGCAACTGGAGGGAGTTTGAAGAGCAGGCGCAATATCAAGAGGAACAGGTGCGTCGTCGACAGCAATCCGATTTTGAGGAGATGGCGCAGTATCAGGAGGAGCAAGTCCGTCGGCGATATGAAACAGCTAATCCTCTGGTCCACCGAGTTGAGTCTAGAAAGCCATGTTGCGGTCCCTCTACTTCGGCACTGAATCAGATTCAGCAACAGCAACAGAAGCTGGAGCATTTGCGTCGCGACCGCCAGGTAGGCGGGGGACGATCTGTCCGTGTGTAATGCACAGAACAGCGATATATCGTCCTCGAAAGAGCGGTACCTTCAGCAGCAGCGGCAGCAGCAGCTTGATGTGGATACTGAGAAGCGCGCTCGCGTTTGCGGAAATCAAGCACTTGACGAAAGTATTGGGGATGACGTTGAGTTGATGGAAACCTCTCAGGGTGAATGGGTTCCCGCCAATCACGCGCGCACCAGCAAGTTGGTGTCAGCAGTTCCGTCTGTAGTAAGCCCGCCCAGACGCGGTTTTGGGCTCTGCAGCTTTTGTGGCTCTCCCAAGTTCACGTGCGAAAAGGGCTCGGAGAAGCCTAGCTGCGAGTGCAATGCAACGCCGACCAAGACAACTGGCACTGTTCTGTTCGACGGAAAATGGATCAGCACCCCCGGAGTATCTTGAGCTGTTATTCGTCTGTGTGAGTTGCCCAGTGCATGACTGTATGTAAATAGGTCCCCCATCGATGCGGTTTGGTGTCGGTACAACGTATACCGTGTGATGTATAGTGTGGGAAAAGCAAGCTCGCGGGTGTGCCTGATCAACAAAGAGTGAATTAGGTCTTGACAAGGACACGCTTGTTGATCTAGTTGCGTAAAAAAGGTTGACGCGACCTTCGTATGCATCATCGAGGACTGAGGTAATCAAGTCGAACCAATGTTCGAGCATGTCAGTTCCTTTTGCATTTTTAACGGACACAAAAATGACACGCGCATCTGTTAGATCTGCTCACATTTGTCCGTAGTCCCCGCAATTCCTTCTCAATGCAGACAAAGACAGCATGCGTCTCATTTGTCGCAGGTGCGAGATATTACGATCGGGTATAAAATGAAGCGATTACTCGTCGGTAAGACAGGTGGTGGATGTAAGAAAGCCACTGAGCTTTAGTAGTGCTCAACTGGTTCCATGTGGATAATAGATGCGGTGAGACGGGGCGGAATAAAGCTTACATGTGCACGAGCTATGTCGCGGCGCTGACGCTGCTTTGTTCGTGGGTACAAGTTTATAGTGGTATGGACACCGGCATCATGTCCGGCTCGCACGCAGAGTTTTACTTGCTTCCATTACGGTGTATCGCGACAAGGCTTTTGACAAGCATTGCTAGTCTGGCGGGACACGTGATGACAATGTTAGGCTTTGTCATGCCAGCGGAAGAATCAAGCTTACAGCCGATGCTAGCGTCGCGCATTATCGAGATTGTCGTTAAGAACGTGGTAGGAAACCAATTGTTTGCCCATGGTGTCCGAAGTTCTGCATCAAATATCCCATATTACCCGTCATTTGATAGTATGGAGATCAAAATGCAGACAACAACGGCTGCTACGGTGAGTGCAAGCGTCAGCGAAGTACGTCGCAGACTCTCTCCGTCAGGTCAGTACGCAATAGGGTATGAAAAGCCGACTAACTAAATTGTGAATAGTCTGACGATAGTGTGCATCAAGCGATGACCTCGTAAAAACTAAGGTTGTCAACATCGAGCCGTATCGAGTAGAGAAGACGTTTATAATTATCGGGAAGGTTTACGAAGTACTTGCTGATGGGGACGTGTTCTCACAGACCCCGAAAGCGGGACATGCGTGTAAGATGGCAGATACATCCGCTGAGACCAAGACAGAGACGCCCAAAACAACTCGTGAGCGACCTGAGTGGGAAACATGCACAAGAAGTCGATAAAATGGAGCAGTCGATAGTGTACCTTCGAGCTACGGAGAGCTGCGGGAACGTTTGATGTGAATGGCTTCCTGCACTGAGTTCTGGATGTTAGAATACACCGTATCGTATCAAAACCAAACAGCATGCGTAAAGTTGTCGCGGCGCTTTTTTACTGTTCATTTTCATCGATATTGTCTCGTGAATGGATCAATAAACGCGTAAACTCTTTCTTCGTGCTATAGAAGTCGAGAAGCTCTTACGTGTCCTCTCATGCTCGACTTGAGCTTGTTTAACTTCTTGAGTGCATTAAAAAAGTCTCGTGTGTTGCCTGATACCCGCTCGAAAAGCATACTCGGATACACACTTACTCCACAAAAGCACTGAAAGTATCATCCACTGGACAATCTGGAGCAAATGACTCTTTTCGGTACCGATATTAGTTGTTTTTTAGTCGAAGGAAGAAGACGGATGTTGGAATGAAACATCATGACTCCAGTTCTTATGCGGTTTGACCATACCCGAACTTCGTCGAGTAAGAGTACAACAATGACCGATCATAGACTTTCTAGCATGTATTACTCGCACCAAATAATCAGCGACGACGTAGCGGAAGAGCGAAAAACTGCACGAGTGTAAGGAGCTGATAAGCTTGTAAAGCAAATTGGAAGTAGTCGATGAGGTCTCAAATCAACAAAATCACACCGCCTACTTCCTAAGTATGTGCATCCCACAGCTATTTCGTTGGGTCTTGGCGTCTCATCATGGAGTAGTCAACAGGAGACATCCATCGAGTTTAACTTGTCGAGCATACTCTTGTCCACGTCGATGTACGGGTGCTCTACAGGTCAAGTGCATCAACATCGAGTCAACTAACAGGAATACGAACATCGTTGTCATTCTGACCGTTGATAGAACAAACGCGTTTGTCTTCATCTCCAACAAACCACTGCTACCCCCATGCATTAAGCGGAACAACGCACTATGTCTACGGCAACAATTTTGCGTTACTGCATAAAGCGTAGTCGACTCGCTGTGCAGTCGTTGAACCTTAAAACGGGACATGCCCAAGTATATCACCGAATGTTAGCTTTAACAGTACTGTGGATGACATTGAAGTGTGTCTTGCCAAAGCCACGACGCGCTGCGAAAAACACCGTCAGCAATGATCCTGTCAGGTGTGTAACGTTGACAGCGCGTGTAACGGGGCACCCTGAAGCTTGTACTGGTGACAGTACAAGCTACTTATTCTGATAACAGAATAAGGCGGTGCCTCGTAACTTCACGTACACTCGTACGTGCAGAGGAAGACGGTAAGAAGAAGCGAGTACTCGGTTAGAGTAAAAAGTAGAACTGTATTTATAATAGTTAATGTCTGCAATAAATCACTATTTATCTTCATCTAACTATGTCTAAATACAAATGTGTAAATCAGTTATCTGCTCACCACTCATTGCGTGCGTCTGTCGTGGCGCGTCTTCGTTGGTTGATATAATGGCCTATATCAACCAATTAGGAACTACTTGGAAGTGCTTACAGAATATTGTCCTTATGACAATATTCTGAGAATATAACTCTTATAGTTATATTCTATTAACAATTTCTTATAAATTGTTATGTAACGATTCACCCCGTTACATCACCCCCCTTAACCATCAGTCACTTTAGTGACTGATTGACTAAATGGATACTCGTCCCAAATCATTTGGGACGGGGTTTGCACTTGTTGGTCCGCGTCCACTTTCCAACATCTCATCGCATGGTAAACAAGCCCATGCGATGCGCGAGCAAGGCCGCCGAGAGCGCGTCTGCACGTCTCTGTGCGGACGCCGAAGCAGAAACTACAGCAACTGATATCCCATCGGTTGCTGAATCGACTCAGCCTGTATCACCTGGTGATGCAGGCGCTGGTCATGAAGACACTCGTGTCTTCACAGAGTACGAGCTCGGTGTCTCGTACTCTCCTGATACGGATGACGGATCCGTATCGACGGCAATTGAATCCAAGCCGCCTGCCAAGCGTGGCATGGACGATGCTTTGCGTCGCAGCATCTTTGGTTCATCTGATGAGTCAGATGAACCATCGCCGAAGCGAAGGCGCTCGAGGTCGCGAGACTCGGGCGCTAATAGTGGTGTCGTTTCTCCAATGGACACCACTTCACAGCGAGGTGCCAGTACTTCTGTCGGCACGTCGCAGGAAGAGCGGGACCGCAATGTGTTGCGTCTCGCTCCAGAAAAGAAGGCATGGATGCCTCCGAAATCTGTCATGGATCACTTGTCGGCGACGACGAGTGATCGTTATCGAACACGATTGTTCGATTCGTCAAGGATCCATCACCTTGACCCCAGCGCGAAAGACTATCGCGCTGAGCATGAGTTCTTCATCGATGCTTTCTTCAGACATCGATGGTACAGTGGGGAATCACAAACGTGATGGTCCCTCACTACTTCAGGCGTGGAACGCCTACATCCATAATCTCGAGGATGTAGGTCGTGACGCTTGGAACGACAAACTTATCAAAGCTCGTGATAAGTTTGAAAAGCGAACCCCGACAGGTGCACGCTACAAGCTGCATCGTCTGTCAAGGGAGAAAGGATTACCCTGCCTCTCTTGGGAGACTCGTGCCCATGTTGTGTGAACAACTCTGCACGAGCACCTAAGGAGGCTTACCTCCTTACCAGCCCGTGGTGGCGCGTACGTGTCTCTACTGAGATGTACGAAGGGATTGACAACCTGAAATCCCCTTTACGACCGTGCCGGGAAGACTTTCTCCGGCGGTCCTTCTGCGGCACAGGATGTGTCGCGTCGTACTGCTCGACCAGACCCAGTACGTCAACCATCAATTGGGAGCGGGGCTCCCAAGAATCCCAGGACGGGGGATAGCCGCGCCACCGGACGAGGTAACTCGTCCGACGTCCGTTCACGTCGCGGTGGTTCAACAGCTGCTCAACTAGATAGCGCTGGCCACCGCGAGAGTCCTCTAATGGAGGTGGAGGAGGAGGAAAGACGCTCTCCACACGATCATGTGGATCGGTGTGTTCCCGAGAGCTTCTTTGATCGCGTAACGCAAGGGTTACGCGACGATCTCGAGCATGAGCGGAATAGGCGTCTCCAGATGGTGGACACTGCCTCGAAGCATCGAGCTGAGTTTGCCTTTGCTCAGCTTGAGAACGAGAGATCTCTGACATCTCTTCGTGACGAGCTAAGGGTAGCTCGTGGGATTGTTGATCGGTCTCGGGCTGAGATAACTGCTCTTCAGACCCTTGTTGATGCCCACCATCGGGAGCACAAGGCTCTCTGCGAGATGCTTGAGCGCAAGGGCGTTCTTCATCGGAAGAAGCAGCGTACTGATGGTACGGCTTAAGCCGACCAACGTAAAACGTGGGATGCGTTCGCATCTTACGTGGTAACTCGATCGTGTATGCATTGCCTAGGCGGTGCAATACACGAAATGGGCCAATGTACTTGGGTAGTAGTTTACTGCTACCCAAGTTAGTCACTACATGTTTTGGTAGATTAACCGTAGACAGTAGGACTAAGTCACCTTTATTAAATAAAAGAGTGTTTGCCCTTCCATTCTTGTCAGCGTTTTGCTTTTGCTTATCCACCGCTTCGGCGATGGAGTCTTGCACAAAACGGACTACCGTTTCACGAGCCAGTATGAACTCATCTGATGACTCGTTAGCCTCAGTGTGCTGTGAGCGCACTGCAGCAACAACAACCTTTTCTTCAGTGAGGGCTTCCGCACTCTCACTGGCATCATTGTCTTCAGTGAGGGCTTCCGCACTCTCACTGGCATCATCTTCTTCGATATCGATGTTATCGATATCGGCATCAAACGCAATGACTTCTTCGTCAGAGCGTGATGAGCGTGAACCAAATCGGTTTTTGCTCGCGCGAGTCCCTCCCCCCTTAAACCAGAGTTACACTCTAGTAAGGTGGGTACACGCGGATGGCGCAAGCCATTCACGTAAAACGGTGTATGTGTCGTGGACGCATGCACCGAGTTGTTGATGGCAAACTCTACCATTGGCAAAAACTCACTCCAACTCTTAAAGGAGTGTACGTATCCTCGAAGTATCTCTTCAAGGACACGGTTGGCACGTTCCGTCTGACCATCTGACTCTGGATGATCAGATGTTGACATCTTCAAGCGCGTTCCGAGTGATTTGAACACGGAACGCCAGAAATCAGCAGTGAATCGTGGATCTCTGTCTGATACGAGTTCACGGGGCAACCCATGAAGTCGGAAGATGGTGTCAATAAAGACACAAGCACAGCCACTTGCCGTGATTGTCTCTGGTACAGCCACAAGGTGTACCATTTTGCTGAATCTGTCAACAAATACGAGAATACCCGTATTGCCGCGTGCGTCTTTGGGTAACCCGAAGACGAAATCCATTGAGATGGATTCCCAGCACTCAGCCGGAACCGGTAGAGGCTGTAAAGGTGCACGCAGTGAAGGACTTGACTTCACTCGTTGGCAGACTTCGCATGCGCGAACATACTTTCGCACAAACTGATACTGGCGGGGCCAGTAAAAGTCTCGACTTACCGTGAGATATGTTTTCTCTCGGCCACGATGTCCTCCTATAGGAGCATCGTGATACTCGAACATGATCCGCAAACGCAGATCAGTATCATCTGGAATGACAACACGTGGTGTGTCACCAGAAACGGCTGTATAATACAGTAAACCGTTACGAGTAGTGTATCGATCTGATGCAGATCGATACGCAGACGACAATCGTTTCAACGATTCTCGAGATGGTTGGGAGAGATGTGACAACAACTTCACTATCTCACCATCTTGGGCGTATGCCCGCCTCACATCATCATACAACGTTGTAGATGGAACTGAGGACGTCATAACCGCAACAGTGACTGTCTCACTGTTGGGTTTCGCGACTGTTTCAAAGTCGGGACGACGTGAGAGTGCATCAGCGACGACATTAAGTCGTCCTGGTTTGTACTCGACCGTAAAGTTGTATTCTGCAAAGAATGACAACCACCGCGCCATTCGTTGTGAAAGGTGCGGGCTGTTCACTGCCGTGCGTAAGGACGCATGGTCAGTGTAAACAACGAAGGGTCTATCTCCTAATAGATAGACTCTGAACTTCGCTAGTGCATACTTCATGGCAAGGAGTTCCTTGTCATGCACTGGATAGTTCCGCTCAGCTGGTTGCAGCTGACGCGACTGATAGCAGACGACGCGTTCAACGCCTTCAAGGTCGTACTGCATTAATGCACAGCCGATTGCGAAATCGCTGGCATCACAGACCACATGAAATGGCCTGTCCTGATCGGCTATTGCTAGGACTGGGGATTGTATCAAGCTCTGCTTGATACCCTCAAAGGAGCGTTGACATTCAGCGTTCCATAACCACCTCTCGTTCTTTTTCAACAAACGAGAGAGGTGCACAGTCATCTCGGCGTAATTGCGTGAATACTTATGCAAATACGCCGCTAGCCCAAGGAATTTTCGAAGACCTTTGACATCGACCGGCACAGGCCAGTCGGTGATCGCCTTGATCTTTTCGGGATCAGGACGTACACCGTTCTTACCAACGATGCACCCAAGAAGTGGTATTTCGCTTGCTGCAAATATACACTTCTTGAGGTTTGCATACAATTGATGCTTTCGCATGATTGTAAGAACTTGTCGGACGTGGTACCTGTGAACCTCAACGTCCGACTTTCCATCCATAGCTCGACTATGGATGAATACGTCATCGAAATAACTCGGCGCGAACTCTCGTACTGGTCTCAACAGATGTGATACACATCTGTTGAACGTGGCAGGGGCATTACTGAGCCCTTGTGGCATTACTAGCCATTCCCAGAGCATGCCGCTAGGCGTGCTAACTGCGGTATAGGGTATATCCCGTTCCGCATTAGGATTTGATAGAAGCCATCCATCAAATCCATGGACGAAAAGATGGTACTCTTTGACATACCATCAATGATTACGTCCTTCCTCGGTATCGGCGTCTGAGCCGGTACCGTTGCAGCGTTCAATTTGTTCAACGCGTGCACTATCCGCCACCCTCCTGTTGCTTTTCGCACACAGAAGGTCGGAGAGCTATGTGGGGAAGTTGATTCCCTCACATGGCCCGCTGCTAAACGATCGGCAAAGAACTTGTCGATCGCAAGTACTTTGTTCACGAGGCAGTGGCCACTGCTTCATGACACAGTACTTCGAGCCTGGTTTAAGCTCGACTTCGTGTCGAATACCTTTATCCTTCGGTAATTCGCACGGAACAGTTTCAGGGAATACATCCTTGAATTCAACCAAATCTTCATAGAGAGGATTTTCCTTGAGCGATTCCCATGATTGGGACTCATATCGCTCAATTCGTGTCTTTTCATCTAGGACACTCTCGTCCATAGATGAACTACTGAGAACTCTCTCGTTCTCAGTAAACACTGTTGCTGACCTTATGTCGGTTACACACTCGTCGTCAGCGACGAGTATGCAGATCTGCTTGACTTTGCCACTACGCAGATCACGCAAGAACCTTTTATGTTCGAGCGTTGGCAACTGAGTGATCTCCGAAGTTAACTTCGGAGGCGCAATCAGATCAAGTGTATAAGCGCCTACACATGATCCGTTATTGACTATGACATTCAATGTCTCTGTCATTTCCTGGGGACTTATTCCCTCAGGCTTCGAAGGACTTATTCCTTCGTCTTCCCGGGGACTTATTCCCGCGGGTTTCGGGGAACTTATTTCCGCCGTATTTGTAATCTTGGGACTTATTCCCTTTACTTCCCTCTAGCTGGGGTTGCGCAACCACAGCGAGATCCTCTACGAAAGACTCTCCAGTCGATCTAGGATTATCGTTTCGCTTAACCTGAGCGATCGATTGTTTCTCTTCTAGATGTTCCCCTCTAGGGATACATCTTTGTCCCAGTCCACCCGACTTATTCGAGTGGTGGACCTTCGGCGCAGCCTGTGTTTCCTCACAGCCGCCGGAACTTTGCTCCGAAGTGTAACCGTTTGGTACACTAAGGTTTTGTGCAGTCGTACTAACGACCGTACCACAAGTGAGGCCATCGCACTCACTCGTAGTACATCCACACGCTTGTGGACGCTCCAAAACGTTCATCAGATGGCCATCTGATGAACAAGCGGCAGGCATCGTTACTGTCCGATGTTGCCAGTTTACCCGTGGTTCGTACCTTCTGAGCCACGGTATTCCAAGGATGACATCAAATTTGTCATCCAAATCCAATACGATAAAGTCATCGTCATATTGGGTATCTTCTAGCGTATAGTGAATCTTCACTATACGCTTCATGACGGTTACGGATGCGCCTGTCGCAAGACGTACCGTCATCCTCGTAGGAGGTGTGTCACATTCACTGAATTTAAAGTGACCATCTTCTAGCGATTGGCGTCGCACAAAATTGTTGGACGCCCCACAATCGAC